AGGGACTCCCCGCACCCCCCCCCCCCCCCGGCCCAGTGCATGAAAATTCATGCACTGGGCATCTAGTTATTTCAGAAAATTTTTTAATTCATCAATTACAGACCTGCTATAGTAGGCTGAATAATGGTCCCCCACAAATGTCTGCATTGTAGTCCCTGGAATCTGAGAATAAATTCCTTACATAACAAATGTAAGGAATGTAATTGAAGTGAAAATCTTAAAATGTAATTGAAGTGAAAATCTTAAAATGGGATTATCCTAGATTACCCAGGTTTGTCCCAGGATTAACAAATTCCTAAACAGTGAAAGTCAGAGAAAAAGGTGTGTCAATGGAAGCAGACATCACAGAGGGATGTGATCACATCAGGCTGCCAGCTTGAAGACTGAGGAAGGAATCGCTAGCTGAGAGGTCCTGGAGCCTCTAGAGCAGGGATGGGGAACATCCAGCCCGAGGGCTGCATAAGGCCCACAAAATCATTAGGGCTGGCCCTGCCCAGGCTTAGGGGTGAGTTAATTAAGTATCTGACCAAATAAAGCAGGCTAACTTTTAAGTTGATAACCTGTATGGCCCATGAATGATATTATAAATATCCAAATGGCCCTTGGCAGAAAAAAGGTTCCCCACCTCTGCTAGAAGCTGGAAATGGTGAAAAAACGATTCTCCATTGGAACTCCCAGGAGGACTGCAGCTCTACCAACACTTTGATTTTAGTCCCCTAAAACCCATTGTAGATTCTCATCTCCAAAACTGTAAGATAACAGATTTATTATTTTAGGACAGGTGGTATCAGTACAAGAAGAATGTAAGCAAGGGAACAGAATAGAGATTCAAGAAACATACTCAGGAACAGTAAAACTTACGGTACACTGCAAATCATTGGAGAAAGGATGATAAATGATGCTGGGGCAACTGGTTATCAGTAAGGAAAACAAAATTGGATCTCTAACTCATGTCATATACACAAAAATCAATTTCAAGTGAAAGAAAATACCTAAAAATAAAACATAAAACTAAAATATGAGAACATCTTTATGACCATGGGAAATAGAAAGAGGACTTAAGACACAGACATTACAAATCTTAAAGAAAAAGCTTCATAAATGTGACTACCTTTAACTAACCACAGTCTCTGTGATACAAAAAGGCCATACACAAATGGGAAAGGTAAAGAATAGCCAGGAGGATGATAATTAGGGTCTGAAGAACTAAGAATTAATAAGGAATAAACTAAGTTAGCCCAAAGGCTAATAGGCAAAAGGCAGTAGCAATCCACGGACAAGGACACCTGCATGACCTGTAACTAGAGAAGGTACTTTCCCTCTCCAGCAGGGTCCACAACCAGGTATGGAGGTATGATTGACACTGATCAGATCAGCAAACAAGATCAAAGCTAACAATTCCTAGAGCTGGGTAGAGACTTGGAGAGGGGACTCTGAATGCCCCTAGGATGAGGTCACATTGGAAGAATCACTGTCAGAGCAATATGGGGTGTACCTTAAAGGCGAGAGTGCACTGATCTAGGATGTAGCTATTTTAATGCCAGCTGCATACACCCTCGAGAAAATCTTGAACCAGACACAACACAGAATGTTCACAGCACACCATTATGCAATAAAGTATTGTAATACAGGTAGCACCAACAATATTTATAAATATTGACTTCTGGGTGATAGGATACATAGGCATCTACCACACTTATTTTTTATTAAAGACAGAACATGATGGGAGATACTGCAAATTGAAACAGGTAAGTCGGACTACTTTTAGAACGTGTGGCATCAGATTTTAGAATAAGTGTAGCCTGGAAGAAATCAACCCTGGGGACCACCTGAGGAGGGCTCAGATATGCTTCCTTAAGGACTTGCTTACTTTCCTTGACCCAAAAAGTAACAGCCCCTGACTAAGTTACTGTATTGCCATTCTCCTCTCTAGGCCCAGCCCCAACCAGTCACTTTTGTGGTGTGAATGACGAAATGACACTGACCTCAGGCCTCTGCTTTCACAGACAAGAGCAGGGGCTCTTCCGGGTGTAACAGGATAGTAAGAAGCTAGGAAAACTCCAGGGCAAGTGGAACAGGGAACTAAGAAAAGAAAATTAAACAAGGCCAAACAGTTTGGGCAGTTTGCAGCAACACCTTATCTCCCCCAACCAAGAACATGCGAGAACAAATGATTAATATCTCTTCTCCCTAAGCAGAGAACAGATAGCTTTAATCACCCTGGAAATGCTAAGGCAAGTGGGGGTGAAGGGGGAAGGAACAAAGGGGAGTTTATCTCACCCACTGAACAAAGAAGTCAGCCATCTCAGGATTTGCCAAGATGACAAGGGGTACATACAAACATTCCCCCCAAGAGCTACAAAAAAGTAAAAGGGAGACCTTGAGAGCTAATCTGTACCAAGATATCTGGCAGAAGAATCTTAAAACCTATACAGTAAAAAAGAAGGAACTCTTACCATTTGCAACAGCATAGATGGACCTGGAGAGCATTATACTAGAAAAGATAAATATCACATGATCTCATTCATTTGTGGAATATAATGAACATAAACTGATGAACAAAAATAGATCCAGAGACATAGAAGCATAGAACAAACAGACTGTCCAACTTCAGAGGCAAAGGCGGAGGGGCGGGGGGAGTAGGAGAACAACCAAAGGACTTGTATGCATGCATATAAGCATAACCCATGGACACAGACAACATGGGGGTGAGGGCATGTGCTGGGGGGAGAGGTCAATGTGGGGGGGAGGAGACATATGTAATACTTTAAACAATAAAGAATCAAAAAACAAACAACAAAAAAACCCCACAAACCTATAGACAGAAAAGTATAAAAACCTTTGAACCCTTACGAGGCTGGCTCCTCAGATAAGCTGAGAGCCCATCTGCATTTTATGCCATATGTATTTTGATAGCTTTGCCTGCCTTGCTTCTTTAATAAATTTGCTTTACTACGATGTTGCTGTCTGTCAATTGTTTGAATTATTTCTCTCAAGACTGACAAGGACCGAGGAGGGGAAAGCCCTCTCCCTTCAACTCAGGGAGCTGTCTGGTAATACCATTTTTGGTATTTCTGGTGCCTATAACACAGGTAAAGAAATCCTTCTACTTCTCTTCAAGTCAACATTATGTCATTTCACATAATTGTTATTACTTTTTAATGAGGTTATATCACCTATGGGGAGACCCATTAATTAGTACTTTTAACAGAGATAATTAAACACTGTGTCTCAACTCTATTACTTTGAATACTCCATGAAGTTCCTAATTATTTTCATAACGTTGTAGAAAAAAAATGATTTCAAAAGTCAAATTAATTTGTAAATATATAAATAAGTAATAGTGTGTACCATTTTGGCAGGATCAAACATTAACCCAGGTAGGAAGGTTAAAAGCCCTACCCTCATCATACCCAAGGCCCCCATCCTGGAATAAACTTCATGATGCAGAATTAGGATATGTACATGACCGTGGTACCCAGTATGTAAGAGGGTGTTCTAAAGAGCCCTGAAGAAGCATGTTTCATCCTATGACTCTCTCCCATTAGTGTACAATAAAGGAAGTGGAGGCTACTGCCCAGATAGCCAACCTTCACTTCTCTTTGCTCAATGCTCCTATCTTGGTGTCAGCTCTGAAAAGTAAGGCCACTACCGATTCAGACAGAGGCTCACCACTGTAGGAACAGTCCTTGGAAAGAACGGCAACTCTGAAGAGTATGATTGTTTTTGGCTGTAATGTTTTCAGAAAGTTTCTCATGGGAGGCCATGTCAGTTTCAGCTAACCAGCTTCAAGGCCTGTTCCATACTTCTGTACACTGGAGATCTGTTCTCACCCTCTTTTCAAATCTGATGACTTCTCTGGACACTTGCTTCAAAATATCTCATTTCCCCCCTAATTGTTTCAGCAATGGCTCATGGACAGTTCTTTTAAAGTATCTTTTCATCTTCAAATTATTTCTTTCTTGAAATATTTATTTCCTTGTGGGAACCTGAAAGCTTTACATGCTACAAAAGAATGACGATGTGGTTCCTTACTTTACTTTTTATAACTATAGAGGTATTGGTCAATCAGGGGAGAATCCCTTTGATAATCAGTCAGGCTCTTTGATTAAATTACTGTTATTCTTAAAGAGACTAGAGTTAATTCACAAGGCCTGATGGCTCTTTTGGCATCAGCATTATTTCATGAACAGATCCACTTCGTTTATTTTTCTTTTAAAAGCAGACAGTTTTAGTATAACTAGAACTTAATGCAGTTAGTAAGTACTGGGAAAACATTTTAAAATTTAATAAGAACAGCTAATCTTATAAAATCTCAGAGTTTTAATTATGAAAAGAACTTGCTACATTAGTTAGAATAGCTACCTCTCTGGGAAAGTAAATTAGGTTTCAAGTACATAAAATCATGAAGAGTTCTTAGGTTTGACACTGAAAGTACAATCAATAAAAGGAAAAACTGGACTTTATCAAAATTAAATGAATTTAGTTAATGAAATTTTCAAAAATCAAGAGATAAGCTGAAGATTCTGAGAAAATATTTACAAGTTATATATCTGATAAAGGACTTGTATCTGGAATATATACAGGTATCTCACAACTCAACCTAAAATGAGAAACAATCTGACTAAAATATGGGCAAAAGATCTGCACAGACATTACTTCAAAAAATATATACAAATGGCCCATAAACATATGAAAAGATGTTCAATACCATTAGTTACCAGGAAAAATCAAATAAAAACCACAATGAGATAACACTAAGGTATGTATTAAAATAGTAGATAATATCAAGTGTTGATGAAGATGTAGAGAAACTGGAACCCTCATACAATTGCTGGTGGGAATATAAAATGATGAAGCCACTTTGGAAAACAATCTGGCAGTTCCATGAAAGGTTAAACAGAGGTATATCATATGAACCAGCATTTCCACTCCTAGATATATCCCAAAGACAAATATAAAAAAAAGAAAGCCTCACTCTGTGCAAGGGCTTTACTTACTGAGGTTCCACTTTAGGCCCGTCGTTGTAACCTGATTGCAAGGCTGTCCAACAGGAATAAGGCCACACCAATCACCTTCCATTCCAGTGTCTACATACAATTTGTGCTTTCCCTGAAGCAGAAAAGGGATGTTCATTAAGACAGGGAAGAGAAAGAGAGGGACATTAACGAGCACCGAATACCTGGTTGGAAGCACCAGGGACATCCTAGGAACACTGCATGGTTTATCATACTAAATCCTAATAACAAATGTATATAGTACTATTATGTGCTGAATAAAGCTAAGAGCTTTCACCTGGCTTAATCCTAGTAACAATTTTACAAGGTAGCTTATGTTAATTATCACGTTTACATGAGGAAACTGAAGCTTGCAGAGATTACATGTGTCCAGGATCACACAGAGATAACAGTTCCTATCTATACCCACCTGCCAATTCCAGAGACTAAACTGGTTCTACAAACTAAAGATGTGGCACTATGTGATGTAGAATTCTAGAGCCTTATTCAAACACATGCTCAAGTGTAAATAAAATATTGGTTCCTAAATAAAACCTCTGCTTTTTCTGAGATTATAAATTTCAGCATTCAATGTCAATCCTAACAGTGGTTAACCTGCTTTCTACATGTATAGATGTCTAGGAGCTACTCGGTGAGAGTGCCTCTACCAGGAAACAGAGTATCTGCCCTAAACGAACTAGCATGTTTCTTCCATTTTGATTACGAAAACTTACGCAATCTACCAGCTTTCATGTTTTTCCATTCAAAAGAAGATTAAAGTTAAATGTAATGCTCAATTGAACCCACAATGTTTCCTTTTAAATAGGATACTTGAAAACTCCTCTTCTACAAAGTAATGATTTTCCATTTCTGTTCTATTCATTATCCTTTGGGTACATGGTCTTTATAGAACGATACCTCAAGTCCTTGTGGGGAAATGCCAAGGCATGCATGCATTCATAATAGAATAAAAAAGTGTTTTTTATCATTCATATATCCCAGAAGAAAAAGTTCCAAAGGATATTGTTTCTTTTAATAAAATAATGTCTTAAAATATGTATAATTACAACTTATTACCAGACTAAGGTATCTAAGAGTCCTTTTGCAGTCATTTTACTTTTATTCCAATGATGCCTTTTGTACTCTATGTTATAAGCTTCTAAAAACTTTATTTTGCTATCTATAAGGCTTAAACATATGAGTAGGCTCTCTTTGTCTTATTCAAAGGATTGCTGTTATCCTATCTAATAAAAGAGAAACATGGTAATTGGCGTATGACCGCTACCCTTCCCATTGGCTAATCAGCAAGATATACAAATTAACTGTCAGGCAAGATGGCGGCCAGCAGCCAGGCAGCTTGAAACTAGCATGAGGCTTGCTTGCTTCAGTGACGGAGGACTCCAACGTTCCCCGCCTTCCGCTGCAGGCCTCTGAGCTGCAAGCAACTATGTAACAAACATAGAAGCTAAACAAAACCCCAGAAACCTGCCGGACTTCAGCCAACAGGATCGCAACATTGTAAGCAAAGGCCAGAAACCTACTTTTAGCAGCGGAGGCCTAAGAGCTGGAGCCAAGCCTCAAAGCTAAAGCTGGCCCAGAATAAAAAAGAAAAAAAGGAGCGGTTGGGAGCTTCAGTCACCCCCAGCCTGAAAACAGCCCTCAGCTCCTCACTGAGACTGGCCAGGCACCCCAGTGGGGACCCCCACCATGAAGGGTGTGTGACCAGCTGCAAACAGCCATCATCCCCTCACCCACGCTGGCCAGGCACCCCAGTGGGGACCCCCACCCTGAAGGATGTGTGACCAGCTGCAAACAGCCATCATCCCCTCACCCAGGCTGGCCAGGAACCCCAGTGGGGACCCCCACCCTGATCCAGGACACCCTTCAGGGAAAACCAGCCAGCCCCCACCCATGCACCAGGCCTCTACCCTATATAGTAAAAGGGTAATATGCCTCCCAGCACCGGGATCAGCGGATCCGCGAGGCCTCCCGGCACCGGGATCAGCGTGACAGGGGGCAGCGCCCAAACCCCCTGATCGCCCTGCGGCTCTGTGTGTGACAGGGTGCGGCGCCCCAACCCCCTGATCAGCCCTGCTCTGTGTGTGACAGGGTGCGGCGCCCCAACCCCCCACCCCCATGGGCCCAGCTCTGTGTGTGACGGGGTAGAGCCATAACCTCCCCATCGGCCCTGCCCTGAGTGTGAGAGTGGCGGCACCCCAACCCCCTGATCGGCCCTGCTCTGTGGGTGATAGAGGGTGGCGCCCCAAACCCCTGATGGGCCCTGCTCTGTGCGTGACAGGGTATAGAGCCCCAACCCACCTGATGGGCCCTGCTCTGTGAGTGACAGGGGGAAATGCCCCAACCCCCTGATTGGCCCTGCTCTGTGCATGACAGGGCGTGGCGCCGCAACCTCCCCATCGACCCTGCCTTGAGTGTGACAGGGGATGGTGCCCCAACCCCCCAATCGGCCCTACCCTGAGCGTGACTGAGGGTGGAATCACAACCTCCCGATCGCCCTGCTCTGTGTATGACAGGGGGCAGCGCCCCAACTCCCCAATCGGCCCTGCTCTGAGCCCGACCAGGGGCTGCACCTAGGGATTGGGCCTGCCCTCTGCCACCCGGGAGCAGGCCTAAGCCAGCAGGTCGTTATCTCCTGAGGGGTCCCAGACTGCGAGAGGGCACAGGCCAGGCTGAGGGACCTCCCCCTCCCCCCCGAGTGCACAAATTTTTGTGCACCGGGCCTCTAGTTAGGCAAATAATTGTCTAAATTTCATATAAGTCCTTGAAATTTAATATAAGTCCATTTGGATACTCATTACCTATATAATTCATACACATAAGGTATATTTTGAACATTCAAGCAGAAGTTATAAACTGGATTAAAAGGGCTTAAATATATTCAAATGAAAAGAAAATGTAAAGGGACTATAATACATTAGAAGCCAGGTGCACGACATTCGTGCACTGGGTGTGTGTGTGGGGGGGTGTCCCTCAGCCCAGCCTGCACCCTTTCGCAGTCCGGAAGCCCTTGGGTGGTGTCCGACTGACAGTTTAGGTCCGCTCGCCGTGGGGAATGGGCCTAAGCTGCAGTTGGACACCATAGCACTGCTGCGGAGGCGGGCTGGTGTGCTTGCCAGCTGTCAGCCCGGCTTTTGGCTGAGTGGCACTCTCCTTGTGGGAGCGCACTGACCACCAGGGGGCAGCTCCTGCATTAAGCATCTTCCCCCTGGTGGTCAGTGCATGCCATAGCGACCGGTCGTTTTGCCGTTAGGTCAATTTGCATATTATCCTTTTATTATATAGGATTTTGAACTTGTTGTTCATCATTGGAAAAAAACATAGGCAACAAATGTCAGTGCACACCAAGCAGTGGATTAAATGCACACAGAGAACCGTGGGTGGATTGGGAACACAGTGCATGGTGAAAACGTAATATGTAGAAGGAAACAGAACTGGGGTAAATTACATAACCCATCCATACAAGTTAAAATAAATTCAAACACAAGACACTTTTTCTAATAACAGAACTTAAAACTATTATTTACACACACTAACATGTTTGTCTGTGGGAAGAGCAGGAGAACAGAATGTGGTACAGGGATAAAAGGGAGGCATCAACCAATCAATGAGCAGGCTTGGGGCAGAGATGACAATGGGCCATGAACAGATGAGCATTAGTGACTCAACACTGGATCTATACAAATAAAACAACAAATGTTTTCTAGATGCAAAGCCATACAAGACTTCAAAAAAAGTAGATACAATATTCTAATAATTCTAAACAATAATTAAAGAAAGAGGAATAATTAGAATACAGGCATAGATAAATTCAGGAATGAAATAAAAATGAATCTTGTTCTCAAATAATAATCTTTGATGATTTTCTTTTTGTGTCAATATAGAGCAAAAGCATAGAAATCATCATTGTTATACAAATGTTCTACATAATACCATGTAAAAGTAATGCTATGATTGTTGTAAGGCACAGGGGAGGAAAAGTGGAAGAAAGTATATTGGCCTTAGGTTCGTCATTGTTTTACATGTATTGAAATCAAGTTGTAGATTTTAAAAGGAGGATTTAAAAATTGCCCCTGGCCAGAGTAGCTGGTCACATGAATAACATGCCTAAGCTCCAGGACAGACTGAGGGATGAGTGAGATGTGAAATAGTCCTTTTCTTCAGCAGCTGTATTTCTCATTCATGAACCTCCATGCCAGTTATTTACAGAGCTATAGACATGAGAAGGATGATAAGTGCATGGAAGGCAAAAAAAAACCACACCCAAACAAAACAAAACAGGAAAATTACAGATCAGGGGCATGCTCAGGTGTGTGGAGTGTGGCAGAAGGCAGGCAGGTGTGGTCACTGAAGGATGGACAGGAGTCAGCACCATGGAGGGACAACGAAGAGGTTTGAAGGCCGAGGGTGCACATGTGCAAAGGCCACACAGCAGTGCAGGGACATCACTGATGAGGAGAGGGTTGGGAGGAAAGAGTGGTGCACAGGGCAGGGAAACTATTCTGTGTGACACTGTAATGATGAATACATGACATTATGCATTTGTCAAAACCCATAGACTGTATAACACAATCAATTCTCACTTTTTTCTTTTGTTCCAAAAAGATGAGCAGCTGCATGTGCATGATCTTGTGTTTATAAACAGGCAGATTTAGCTTTGCATGGTTAAAGGAGAGCAATGCTATCTATACTTTTCTCCTATATTCTCACATCTATGTGACATCTTTCAAAAATGAACAACAGAAGGAATTTTTATTCATTCCTCAGATTTCTACATTTATAATATATGCCAGCCTATATGTGATTTGGCATATGCAGGCAGGCATACAACCCAACATTAAAGAACTTCCCTGAAGATTTATGCCATTACTGGAGACCAGGGGCACCTGCCTAACCAGTGACTTCCATCCACGCTCATGAATCACCACTGCACAGACTCCTGTTCTGTCCCCTGTTCTGAGGCTCTGAAGTTAAAGACACTTCTGTACAATAAAGACACAACAGAAATCAATCAGACACTATGCTTTTCCAATTGTGGTTATTTAAAACACATTAATTACCTCAGAAAGGTATGAAATGGTAACTTAGTGAAAGGGA